GATCCTCTGCTTCATCTAATCTACTGGTGATTCCTTCGAGTGTGTTCTTCATTTCAGTTATTGTATTCTTTAGTTCTACCTGGTTGTTTTTTATAATTTCTGTATCCTTCTTTATGTCCTCCTTAAGTTCCTGAAACATTCTTATCATTAGTGTTCTAAACTCTGTCTCAGAAAGGTTAGATGCCTCTGTTTCATTTAGTTCCATTTTTAGAGGTTTCTTCTGATCTTTTACTTGGGACATGTTTCTTTGTTTCTTCATTCTGGCTGTCACTCTGATTGCTTCAACGTATTAGATCACCTAGGAAGACAAAAAAAAAAAAAGAGAAAAATAAAAAGGGTGGGGAGTGGCTCTCCGCCCACTTTATTCTGCAGACCACTTGCTCAGCAATAGAGAGACTCTGGGCGACTCAGCACCAGCTGTTGGGGGGAAGGGCTCAGTGCGTCATGCGCCGACCTCCCACTAGACTTGAAGTGAGCTTCCCACAATTAGCTGCTGTGAGCTCTGGAACCGTGCTCACCACCAAATATCCTCACAGGTTGTTGCGGGCTGTCTGCTGCTGCAAAAAACCCTCTGTGGCCTGCCAAGGTAGGAGCCAGGGATCAGGGTGCCCCTGGCAACACAGCTCTAGGTGGGCAGGGCAGACCCCCAAGGTACCACAGGATTTGGTCAGTGGCCCCCACCAGGTCAGAGCAGCATGCACTCCTGCATCAGCAGCCAGACCACACAAACTCGCCCGGAAAGCCCCGGCGGAATCACGCAGGCGCACAGCTCGCGGCCCTACACTCCCAGGAAAACTCCCTGTCTCAGCCTGTCCCAATCAGCCGCTTGAAGATCAGGCCGAGCAGCCCGACAGTCAATCGCCACCCAGGCAACTCTGCACATGCAGTGCGGAAATCGGGGGCCTAAGGCGAGTCGCGCACTCCCGGGTCTCAAAAAGCAGTCTGTTGTAGTCGGAGCACGATTCCCAGGCGTTTCCCTGGCTACACAGCACAAGCAGTATGGAGGGTGGGATCCAAGGCCGCATGCGCACGCACACATATGCACACACACACGCACTCCTGCGCCAATTCTAGCAAACCAATACAGTCCCAGACCTGAGCTTCTGTGGGAGAGCCCGGCCCGGAAAAATGGTGGCCTCCTGTACACTAGTCGTGTGGAAGCTCTACACCAGGGGAACAATGGTCCCCAAAACCTCCAGCTTCCGCGCCAAAGGCGCTCAGTTCAGTCCTTCCCGGAGGCTCCTGGGCCCTGCTCACAAAGCCATTCCCTCCACCAGCAACCGGGTGAGTGCTCACCTGCAAGCGAGTCGGTTTGCCGGCTCCACTGTTTCTCCAGCCGCCCCCAGCCTCACCGAGTTGAGCAAAGAGAGTCCTCACTATTTTCTCCTTCCAGCTATCGTAGAACTCCTCTTCCCAGCAAAGTAACTCTGGGGTGGTGAGCGCGGTGTGGGGCCGGAGGGTCTCGCCCCCAATCGGAGAAGCCTCCCCACCGCTGAGGTGTCCCTCATGGGGTTCGCCCTCTCTCATCTCCGCCCCTCCTACCGGACTTGACGTGGCCTCCTCTTTAGGTCCTTCGTTTAGAGGTTCTATCCATCTAGTGTTCAGGGGACTTCTGACGTTGAATATCTTATAAATCATTTGTAATTTTGGTGTGATCCTGGGAGGCAGTCGGCACAGCGTCTGTCTATTCCACCATCTTACTGGAAGTCTCAAGAGCCATTTCTTGAATGTACCCTGAATGAATGGTTTATTCTGGCTTTCTTGCTGACCATCAGTGTTCTTTTAATGAAACATCTAAGAGACAGGAAATAATACCACAGGACTTATGAACCATTCAAATCATGAATCATTTTGTTTATAAAAGATTGAGCTAAAGGTCAATAACCATAAGCAATTGCTTTCATGGCTCTGAACACAGACTGTACTGGTTCAAAATGTATTCTCATGAGAAGGGGTTTGGGAACTAATGTCAATATTTTTCTTCTTTCCTTCTGGCTGCTAGAATATAATAAGGAATTCTTATTTTTCTTCTTAATTTTACCCAGTTTTCTACATTTCTTGACCACTCTGGTTAATCTTCATTATCAAATATAAAGATATATAACACAATCTGTTAATTTCTAAGGCAAAGATAAGTGGGTTCTAAAGACTATTTTTGTGGATGACTAAAAAGCTTATACATTTGTGTGGAAGAAAATTTTAGAACCACCATTGTACCTATTTTCAAATGAGACTGTGTAAGAGGTTGATCATATGTGTGTCTAATGAAAAAATTTGAATTCTCATATGGATTCTTTAAGTAGGTTCATTGCTGATTTTGATAAGGGGGTGCTTCTGTACTGAATGTGTAGTAGCTGGTATTATCCCAGGGCTGGAGAGAATTTCGTCTTTTGGATACCAGATGTGATAGTGTAGTTTTTGTAAGTTCTAAAGTTAGGAGTTTTTCACTGTGTAGTTTTACTGTTTCTGTTTTCCCTTTCCCAGGCAGATAAATATAAGAGCTTAGACTCACTGATTACTTAGTAGACATCCAGCTTGGTATTCTCCTTTATTTATAAGCCCATTATTTTAATTTATGAAGTGGCTTATAAATCGAGTCATTTAAAATGTATTAAGGGAGCTCTATCAGTAAAATAATACTGTGTGATTTTTGAAATGTGAACACTCACTACCTTTTATATTAAGGAAATTTATATATTTATATATGGTTTTCCTCAAATAAGTTGTATTTAGGGACACAGATGTCTAAAATTTGCACTTTTTAAAAAGTTATTTTGCAGAACTTAGGGGGAAAAGAGCTCTTTTATTAATTACTCAAGGCTTTGTATAGTCAGCATTTTATGGCAAAATCTTTATTTCGTGAACGTTAGCACGTAATTTGAAATGTTCGATTAATGACTGACTAACAGTGAATGAAGGACTGCGTTTTGAATATAGTCTGTGTTAAGACTTAGTTGAATTTTTGCATTTTGGTCATTCTACTTGACATGAACATCATATGGAAATGAATAAACCTTTTTCCCACCATAGGAAATATTCTCTTAGCGTAGGGTTCACACTGATAAATTAGCAACAACAAAAAGTTCACACAAGCAACCAAATGTTCTTTATGCTTCACAGATGTATCTTGTGATTTTTCCAGAGGGAACAAGGTATAATCCAGAACTAACAAAAGTCATTTCATCTAGTCAAACATTTGCTTCTCAAGAAGGTAAGTAAACATTTGACTGTATTTGACAAAATAATTTTTAAAGATAATGACTTGTTTAAATTTGTTCCTAGACAAGATACTTATGTTTTATAATTGAAATGAAGAAACATTTATTCCTTGAATGAATGTATGCATTACCTCTTAGGAAATGAAGTTTCTTCTCGTTCATTCACATGCATGTTATTACATATATCTGAGAGATTAAATTCAAGTGCTCGCTACCTATGTTGGTACCCTGGATTAGGGAAAACCTATCTAGGTACATGACTATGCAGATGGCCCTGTTCCTACAGTTTAGGTTCTGGGTGATGGGAAGAGTTTCTCATCTGTGGGTTGACAAACCTAGATTGGAATCCAGACTTTGACATTTATTAACTGTAGGGTTCAAGCTGCCTCATGTTACTGAGCTTTAGTTTTCTCATCTCTTAGAAAATATATACTTCACAGGTATGCCTAAATCTGTGTAAGAATTACATACGAAGATACGTGAAGTTCCTGTTGGAGAATATTACGCAAAGTGGGTTCACAGTACTTGGAAACTACTTGATGTCCCCAATTATAAGAATGTCCTTGACATCCATATTTTAGACAGTTGGCTAACTAATATACTAGAATAAGCTGTTCAATTTAACCGGGTTGGGAAGGAAACATAAACAGTGGCTCTGCTGTGTTCTGAAAGGTGTCTTTGAAGATTGACCGTGACCTAGTATGTGCTCCCCATTCATGATGGGCAGGGGTTTACCAAGCAAATACCCTGTGCTGACCTTACGCCAGGGTCTGTGCAGTTGCAGTACTCCATAAGAGAACTTGCTGCTGTGGTGGCTGCTACCTCCACGTGGCTGGTATTCACAACGTGGCTCGTCCATCAGAGGAGATGAGATGTTAGTTTATTTATTTTTAGTGAATTCATTGTGATCCGATGTGAATCCACCTGAGAACTTGGTGACTGCAAACAGGGACACCCGTTTTGTGCTCACAGTTGTACGCTTTGGGGCAGGGCTCCGCGGGGATGGTTCATCTCTGTAGCCGCTCATCTCACTCAGCAGCCCTCAGGCTGGAGCGCGATGGGGCTAGAAAGGCCCAAGTGACCGCCACGTGTTAGCTGGTAAGGCCCTCGCTGACTTGACCGGCCTCCGTGGGTTGGCTCTCCCAGCTGGGAGTAGCTTGGCTCTCTCCAAAGTGGTTTTCAGCTTCCCCTTAGTGTTTATCAGGCATCACTCCTGCGCCAGCATGTAGTCTTAAGTAGGCGTGACCTCTAGCTTTGCTGCGTCCCTAGGCGTATCCCGTGTGAGTTACAGAACTAGCCTTACACAGTTATTTTATTACTTGTGCTCCATTTCCTTACTTTAAAACAAGAATTATAATGTCTCCTCCATAGGGCTTTTGTGAGGTTCAATGACGTAGTGTTTACAGAAAGCAGCTGTGAAAGGCTGACTGTATGCATTGTTCTACCATTTTATATGAGACTTGAGATTCCGGAGATTTTTCTATCTGCTGGGGTCCTGGAACCACCCCCCGCGGGTACTGAGGGATAAGTGAAGCTTTCCTGGAGTCAGAAGTTATATGGGATTTTTGACTATTTTGGTTATCGCTGTTCCCTAGATGTATTTTGCATGGGGTTTTGGCACTCCTAACCCACGTTGTTCAAGGGTCATCTGTGTGTGTGTGTGTGTGTAAATATTAGCATAATTTTTTCAATTGGGTAAAACATGTTTATATGCAAATAGATTTATTTACTGTATTATGTTTATTCAGAGTCATAATTTCAACCCAGGTTTTATTGGCTGTATCAGTCACCTGAGACTTCCATAACAAGATGACATAGACTAGGTGGCTTACACAGCAGATTTTTAAACGCTTTTCTCACAGTTCTGGAACATGGAAGCCTAAGCTGCTGGTGTCATTACGGTCGGCTTGTGGTGAAACGGCCCCTGGCTCGCAGAGGGCGGCCTTCTCGCTTTGTCCTCACATGAACTTTCTGAACTGTGCTCACACAGAGATGCCTCTTGTGTGCCTTCCCCTTTTTATAAGGACACAAGTCCTATCAGATCAGGGCCCCAGCATTACGACCTCGTTGAATCTTAATTACCTCCTTAAAGGCCATACTTCCAAATAGAGTCACATTGGGATGAGGCTTCAAAATGAATTGTGGGGGAGGGGTGGAGAGCTACCTCAGTCCATAACAGGGCCTTAAATTATTTTTCTGTTTGTAATTAGATTTAATACTAATATTTTTTAATTCACCATTTCAAAATCAATTTAAGATGAATATTTCCCTTTTATTGTTCAGCCTCATTAACTGAGATGACTGTTTAATATGCCAACTAAGAGCTACTTATTTTTAAAAATCCACAGCAATTTTGTAATGCTGAAACAAGTGCTTTTAAGTAATCTTAAAATAGTATAAAAATGATAAATATTCCAGCTTTTTAGTTTAGTAACACCCTAGTCTCCTATAATTGATCAATTACCAGTCTGTCATTTTTCTGAGTCATAGATCTTGCTCGAAGTTACTAAAAGGGGAAAAAAATTGTCTTATGAATATAATTTTTAAGTGCTAACTCTTCTTTAAATTCTATAACTGGGAAAACTGTTGCTATCTATTAGCAGTATATTTTCTTGTGACTGTCAAGGTAATTCCCACCAAACACAAAAGGAAACTGCTTTGTTGTAAACCAGTATATCTAGAAAAAGTGCTTCCTGTTTTCTTTCCTCTTAGGTCACAACTAAATGTGATTACTTGAAAATAAAAACAAAAGAACTTGTTTCTCCATCTGTTAAGCTAATTTTTCTTCCAGAAAACAAACTAATAACTCGTTAGTATGTCATATGTTTTGCTTCAAAACATTAAGTTTGCTCTTAAAGTACCTACATTTGAATCTGACTTAAAAAGCAAATAGAAAAACAAATCAAAGCCAACATTTTTAATTTAGATTTTTAAGATTTGACACTTGTTTACACATTTAAGTCATTACACCATATACCTGTCTTCAGTTCCCTGTTGACAGTGGTACTGGCTGGCCTCCTGGGAAGGAGAGGCGGGTGCAGATGTGTTCCTCTTATCTCTGAATACTTCAAGGCCCTGGTTATCACTACTCCCTAGAAGTATTTTGCTTCAAAAAAATATTAGCCCAAAATATTTTCATTCCATATTAAAGTTGTATTTAAGATATACTTGTGTTATAGTGTCACGAATTCCTAATATTGTTTACTTACAAGATTGTCATATTAAAGTTCTCTAAATTCCCTTCTTCCTTGAAACTAAATGTTACTCATTTCTTTAAAAAAGACTTATTCACAATACCAAATAAGTTAGTCAAGATTTTGTTTAACTACAGTCTCTCCGGGACAGAACTTAAGATTTTGAGAGGTCTGAAATATAGGGAGTGTCTTCATAAAACTATCAAATGTCAAGTAAGCAAGGTATAGATTGACGACTTCTCAATTTTATAATAGTAAATTAGGGAAAAGACAATTTTATTTTCAGAAAGGCTAACATGGAACTTGTGATTGAAGAGAACAATGGTAAAACGTGTAGTAAGGAGAGCTTCAACATAATATGTAAAGATAACAGTATTATTTAGTATAATAGTATGTAAATATAAATTAATAGTATATATACATGAAATGTACTCTATAGAATACTAGTACTAGTATTACTAAATATAAATAAAGTAATATGGTAACTAAAAAACGATCTTTCTATAATTATGTTTCTAAAATATTAGTTTGTTAAGGGACCAATCTGATTATGTCATGTAGGTCCCACAAACCTGTCACGGAGGGATGCCCTCTCCTGACTGCCCGCGGCCGTCATATCTTTGCCGGCTGTGGAGCTGCCGTCGCTGACGGGTGCTGTCGGGTATCTGGTCATCTTGGCAGGGATTTGCCGAGTGCTATAGGTGCTGCCTGTTCCTAGTGAGGCCACGAACTGAATCTCATGGGCCTCGATCGCTACTGAATCAACAATTGTTTGGGATGTAAAGACAGAAAAGAATCATAGTGGAAGACCACACTCAGACCTTACATTCCCAGTCTAGAATTTTTTATTCTTGTATGCTAGTCATTTTTGAAAAAGAATAGGAATGAATAAAAGGGATGAACAGCTTTCAAATTATTGGGTTGTCGAAAAGTCATGACGTATTTTTTCTGTTTTTTGTTGCAAAACTGCATCATGACTTTTCAGGCAACCCAGTACATTTATGGTGATGCTCAAGACACCTGTTGTTTCACTTTGCATACCGACTTGGGCACCCAAGCCGCATTGCAGCTGTCCTTCATGTCTCAGTCCTTTGGCCTCCTGCTCCTCCGAGTTTCCGTAGCGTGGTTCTGACGGGCACCTAGGTCAGGTGACAGGATGACAGCAGCCGGGAGCAGTGCTTGTGGGCCTGGGGTGGGAGATGAGATCACCTGTCCCACCTACATGTGCTTTGTACACAGCAAATGCTCAGTGACCTGGAGAGCTGGCTTTACCTCTGGGCCATTTCCATACCATTTGCTCACAGAGTTGCACCAAATAAGTGATATTGCTGTTTATCCCTTCTGTCTTTTCACGCTCCTCTCTGCTACCCTGTTGGGAATTCTCGGTGGGCTCAAACCACGGTCTGAACTCTAAGTCAGCAGCTGTCTAATGGTGCCTGAGCCCACAGCACCGGCTGAGTCCCGAAGCTCGCTGGAAACCGGGGCTCCTGGGACCCACCCTAGACCTTTCAGTCTGATATTGTGGGGCTGCGGCTCAGCCTCCCAGGTGATTCGGATCATCCTGAGCTTCTAGAACCCCTGGTCTCCTCAGTAGGGTTAGTCGTGTGCTCAGCAGGCTTGTTGGATCAGAGTTCTGTTTCATCCAGAACATGCGGCTCTAATATTCGGTGGTAAACCGTTAGCTCATACTTCAGCTTCATTAAGAAAAAGAAGAAAATGGGCCAGCCGAGTGGCGCGATGGTTAAGAACTCGCTTGGGATGCCAGAGGGCCCCGGTTCGGATCCCACATATGAGGGCCAGCTCTACAGCTAAGATGCTGAACAACAGCTCAACCTGGAGCTGGGCTGCTGTGAGTCGCCGGCGACGGCGTAGGCTGCAGTCCCTGTGGCAGTGGGTTGCCATGGGCTACCGTATGTAGCCAGCAGCCAGCGTGAGCGGCCA